CACCTGAGTTGGCAGGTTTGAATCCAGCCTGGGCCCCCAAACAATGATGGCTGCAACCAAAAAATAGCCCGGCATTGTGGCAGGCTCCTGTAGTCCAGCTACTTAGGAGGTGGAGGCAGGAGAATCGCTTGAGCCCAAGGGTTGGAGTTTGCTATGAGCTGTGATGCCACAGCACTCTACCCAGGGCAACAGCTTGAGGCTCTGTCTCCAAAAATAAAAAGAACCTTGATTTGTTTAGTTTTAAATAAAGCGTTTAAGTTATATAACAGTATCTCATAATTATAGGTATCAAAGTCCTTAAAAAGATATGAATAAATAGAACCTACTCATAGGTAGGGATAATAACATTGTGATGAAGTAAAGTTTATTCTGGACATTTCAAAGAGTTTTATATTTGAAAATTAAGTCATGTTAACAGAATAAAGCAAAATCATATAATCAATCTCAGCAGGTACAGAAAATGATTCTGATGTGATCAACACCATTGATGATGGGCAGGGCGCAGTGGCTCACACCTGTAATCCCAGCATTTTGGGAGGCTGAGGTGGGTGGATTGCCTGGAGTTTGACACCAGCCTGAGCAAGAGCAAAACCCTGTCTCTACTAAAAATATAAAAACTAGCCTGGTGTATTGGCACATGCCTATAGTCCCAGCTACTTGGGAGATTGAGGCAAGAGAATGACTTAAGCCCATGAGTTTGAGGTTGCTGTGAGCTGTGACGACACCATAGCACTCTACCCAGGGCAACAGAGTAAGACACTGATCCCCCCTACCCCTCAAAAGCTAAAAACAAAACCAATCACCCATATACCCATTGATGATAAAAACTTGCAGCAAATTAATAGTACAGGCAAAGTTCCTTAAGCCAATAAAGCTTCCTTTCTCAATATTTTTATCTGGAGGAACCCTTGAAATAATTTTCAGTTCCCAGAGTACCCTTACAAAAAGTTGTTACACCCTCCAGCTCACACGTTAACCTAATTATTAAGCTGTAGATACACATTAATAATAATTTCCAGTGTTTTTTTGAGTAGAGAATATTATTCTGTCTTTTTATTTGCCTAGTTTATTGGCCTGTTGGGTTGTTTGTGTGTGTGTGTGTTTGGGTGGTGGTGGTGGTGGGATATCAGCTCTAGTGCAAGTCAGTCCTATAGGTAAAGTAAGCTTCGGTTTTTTTCTTTTTCTTTTTTTTCCCTTTTACCTTATTAAAGTAGGCAAGTTATGGTCAGATGAGCAGAAAATTGAGAGAAAAGGTCCTCTTGTACTTGGGTGTACGTTTGGGTTTTTTTGTTTTGTTTTGTTTTGAGACAGAGTCTTAGTCTCCCCGGGTAGAGTGCCCTGGTGTCATAGCTTATAGCAACCTCAAATTCCTGGGCTCAAGTGATCCCTTTGCCTCAGCCTCCCAAATAGCTGGGACTACAGGCATGCTCGCCACAATGCCTGGTTAGTTGTTTTCCATTTTTAGTAGAGACAGGGGACTCTTGTGCAGGCTGGTCTCAAACTCCTGAGCTCAGGCAGTCTACCTGCCTTTGCCTCTGGGGTGCTAAGATTATAGTTGTGAGCCATTGTACCTGGCCTCAAGTGTACATTTCTGTTGAAAGGGAGAGAAAATACTTTGTTTTTAAGTTCTTCCGGGTGGTTTTCATTACTGTTCGTAAAAAACTGTGTTTATGTAATAGCTCCTTACCTAAAAATGTGTCCCAAAAGCAAACCATTGTTAACATAAAGAAGGGAAAAAGTATTTCATTTAGGAAAACCTGTATTTGAGTTTCTCATAAAACAAAGTTTTTAGGAGACAAAATGTCTTTATTTTGTTTACAAATATGAATTTTGATGCAACAAGGTTTATTTAAAACCCTTCTGACTTGGCGCCTGTGGCTCAACCGGCTGAGGCGCCAGCCATGTACACCTAAGGTGGCGGGTTCGAATCCCCAGCCCGGACCCGCCAAACAACAATGACGGCTGCAACCAAAAAATAG